GGGAGCGCGACAAACCAACCCCCCATCGACTACAGCTCAGGGTCCCGCCCTGAACAGCTGGAGACTCTCGGGAATACACGCAGGTGGGCGATGCCCAGAGGGAACCGTGCGCCCTGGGATGCGGGTGGGAGGTTAGGGGCAGCCCTTAGCAACGCCGGGCCCTTGCTGGGGTGCGCAGTCTGCCCCCGGCCAGGCAGCCACCGAGGTGTCAGCGGGACGCCGGGCCCCCTACACACACAGTGGGAAGGGGGGGCCTCTGAGGAGACATCCCGAGACAAAACGCTACAGACGACCGAGGGCGAGACGTGTCCTCACCCGTCTCCTTCCCAGGCATCTCCTCCAGGAGGCAGCTCCTGCCAGGATGCTGAAGTGTTACATCCCAGTAAAGCAGACCCCACGCCGGGACATCCTCCTGTGTCCGAGGAAACTCCGTGAGGTCCGTGGTCTGGACGTGGGTCCCGTGAGGCCCAAGGGGGCAGCCACGGCCGGTGCCAGCAGACCAGCCAGGACACTCGGAGCTCTGAGCCTCGGGCCGGACCACACCCACCACGCCTGCAGGTTCCCTGCGCACACCCACGAGGTATGTTCACACACACACATCCCATTGTTCTTCCTTTTTAATCACCTGCAACATGGGGCCAGAAAACTAGAAACTCCTGAAAAATGAGAGTAGCAATAAGCATTAACCACAAAGTCTCTCAGTGAGTCACAATGTGAAGGTCTATTTCCAGGAAACCAGAGCGAAAGCATTTTATATAATCCTCTCACTTTACTATGAACTGCTTTAAATGTAGGGTAATTGTGGAAACGAGGCGTTGCCGTAATTGGGGTGTCATTATCTCTGCGCGTCAATCCCCTGACACCCACAAGGCGCGCGAACGGCAAAGAGTACATTTCTGTATGTCCAAGCCAGCCGCTTGCCTTTCTTTTCAGGACGCAATTCAAACGCGGCTGGGGCTTTTTCAGAACCTAACGAGGACACCGTGGGAGCTGTCCCCATCACCCTCCCGGCCCCCGCCAGGTCCTGTCCCCTCGGCAGCGACAAAGGGTTCCGCAAACGAACTGCAGTTCAGTCGCACACAGACTACGCGACGGACATCCTCCTCCTCGGAGACGGATTTCCAGAACACGCTATAAATCGTCTCGGATGGGTGATCAGCCCAAACTCGGCAGGGGAACTAACTCCACGCCAGAGAGTGGTACCCGCCATAGTACCGGCTTCCAGGGACCAGCTCCCAATTTGCTACACTCCCGGGAGCCTTCCTAAAGGAAGTCTGGAACAGGACCACAGCCTCACTTTGAGCGAACACAGGCGACACGCAGTAACTCCCGACTGGCAAGAACCCCAGGTTGACGCAGCTCTGGACACAGCGGCCCCCTCCTGTCCCGCCCCGGCAGGCCGGACTCGCACGGGCGCTGGTTTGCGCACGCGGCGGCCCCTCGCTGGGGCTCCGGGCGCGGTCCCGCAGTGGGTACCGCCGCTCCTGTCTGAGCTTGGCTCCCGTGGGAGGCTCCTCTGCTCGGGCTCAAGCTCTTCCCCTCCGCTCCCATCGCCGCCGGGTCACGGGGTCCGGCGGGCCAGGCCTGCGCGCTGTCGCTCACGTGGTCTCCGTGAGGCCCGGCTGCGCATGCGCCCGCACAGATCGCTACACGTCAACACCGCACGGCCATCTTGCCTCGTCAGAGTTGTTTTCGCCCCGCGGGACTGCCCGCACAGTCTCCCTGGCACACCTAGTTCCGGCCCCCGGAAGCAGGCTCATCTGACTCCCTCTCTGGTCCCAGAGCGAACCCGGCCCGGCCACGTGCCCAGCCCTGGACCGCCCGCCCCACGCGGTGGCATCAGGTCCGCGAAGGGCCTGGGGGAGGGGGGACAGGAACAGGGTTCCCGTTTCCCAGGGTGCACTGGGCCCGCACCTGCCGTCTTCACTAGGTCCAAGGCCCTTCCCAATCAATTTCAAAACAACTTCAATCTAATAACTGCTTGTTATGAAGGTTAGTAACTAATTCGACATTCTTAGAGTGGCCAGTTGAAACAGTAATGAGAAACCATGTTCTGTATGTATGTTTTCAGAGGGCCTAAAAATTGCTTATGGAGTAAAAGCTTTGGTGATTACCATGAATCGCGGTTCATCACGGCCCGTGTGCAGGGGCCGCGAGCCGTAACACCCGCCACTCACAGCGGGACCCTCAGCGGGAGGGCGGAGTGTGCGAGCACCGCGGGGTCAGGGCCAGAGACTCCAGTGGCGCCAGGGGCAACGAGCACCCGGACCGAGGCAATGACCGAAACCCACTAAGGGAGACTCGGCCTCCCGACAGACACACGCACCACCCGCTTCCTAGGAGCAATTCCCGCAAAAAACTTCAAACCTGAGCCCGATCAAATCTCTGGGTCCAACCACCAAGTGGCAGGAATGACAGGGGAGAGGACATGCTCACCAGACGCGACGGGAATCCAGTCTGTGGAAGCGGACTGGGGGAATCTTATGGGATAAACGAGGGTGAGACGGGGCACGCAGATTCACGCCCAGGACACATCGATGAGTCTCAGTGTTTGCGCCCGCTCTGCCCCCACCCCCGCCCAGTTCCGATGCAAAACGACGACCCTCTCAAAGCTCATGAGGCAGGAAGGGAAATCCCAACGCCGACTGGGTGTTTGCTGATAGCCAGAAATTGTTATTAATTTCTTAGGCGTGATAATGACATTGTGGTTAGGTTTAAAAAGAATCATTATCTTTTATTGAAGTATTTACAGGCGGAACGATATGACATTTGTGATTTGCTTCCAAATAATTGGGGGTAGGGAGAGGGATGCGTGGGGACAAAGATAAAGTTGGCTTAGCCTTAGCACGAGAGTTGTTTCAGCTGGGGGATGGTGTGTCGGGAGAGGGCGTGCAAATAAAAAAAAACACATTTCTCATGCAACCGCAGTGCACCAAATCCAAGCCTGGTCAACAGAATCCCACAAAGGCAAGGGTGGTAAAGAGACTGGTGACATCAAATGCTAATGGCAAAACTGGGTACCAAAGCCTGGGGCGGGGGTGGGGGGGGGCAGACAGTCATTACTGCCACTCCTTGAAAGTGAGGAATCGCCAATGTCACAGGGAGGAAAACGCACCCACTCAACTGCCTTGCCCCGAGTCCGCTGAAACCTTGCCTGCTTTCCCTGCGAGAGGCCAGGGCCCCGACCCAACTCTGGAAGGGCGTTTGCGACAGCACCTGCTCCGTGCGTGTGCGCTGCAGTTGAAGGTTTCCGACAGCGTAGAAAGCTCCAGCTGCTCGTGGGCTTGTCACTGGCTTTTAGTTTTCACGAGCAAACAGCCCCTTCCAGCAGGGCACACGGACATCCACCTGATGGCCCTCCCCCTGCACACGCACCCTGTGCTCGCACGCTTGATGCGTCTGCCTACAGGGACGCCGCTCCGAGGCAGGGCCGCAGGCAGGTGGGCACAGTGGGGCAAAGCACGGCATCAGGGGGCCCACGGGGCAGTCCCGTTGCCAGCTCCGCCCCAGTGCTCTGGGATGCGCCTGGCTCAGACCTCGGGCTGCGAGGGATCGCCAAAGCTCAGTGATCGCCAAAACCAAGTCACAGGCCACAGCCTTGGTCTGGCCTATGCAGCCAGCGATCAGTCAGAGGATGCCCCGGCTAAGGTTTCTTCCTGGTGGGTTAGAGAAAGGGCCGGTGCGTCTTGGTTCAGTTAGGCCCCGGTCCGGTGTGCACCTCCCCAACAGCCAGGCAGGCTCTGGGACAGCGGGCTGCATTGCACAGCAGAACCTGAGTCACCCCGAGCGCATCAGCAGCAACAGGCCTCGGAGCGCCTTGGGGCAGGGAAGGGAGGGCTCTGTTTGCCTGAGCTTGCTCACGGCAGGAGGGGCTGGCGCCCAGATGCGCGTGATGGCCCAGAATGGACAAGGTGTGGAGGTTATGGAAACGGCAGGACCGGGTACTGACAACCCCGAGGTAGAACAACTTTAATTATTCATCAAGTCCTGATTTCCCAAACACATACCTTTCATGTTTGCAAAATGGGGTGAGTCATTGTTGATGTTGCACTTGAAGATTATTCAACACAATATTTACAACCACACAAGCCAAGACCCTAGGAAAGGAGAAGTTGAAAGGAGCGAGCTTTGGGGGCCCCGTTTCACCCCAGCAAAAACTCCCTGGGCGCAGGGAGCTCATAAAACAGTAATTAGACAGTCAGAGACGACTCCGGAACACGCAGCACGCTGGAGAAAGGTAAACGTTAGCGAGGAGTTAAAAAGCAATTACTATAATAGAAAAAGAAAGTGCCTAAAGAGGAAATGAGTAGTTAAATGGGTTTTCTTCTGGTGTCGAGAAAGCAAGGATCTCTGGGGGAGAAACGCGTGCGTGGGAACCGGAAGGGGGGAAAGTGAGGGAAGAGCGGAAGGAACACAGGGATGTGGCTGAAGCTCCCGGCGTCAGCGGCCCTGCCACCCGGCTGCGCCCTGCGCGGCCTCCACGCCCTGCGGTTTTCCTTTCCTGCTCGGGGCCCCGCCGTGTGCCGGGTACCATGCCCATCCCGGGAGCGCCGGCTCCTGGCCCGTGTCTCCACGTACACCGAGGAGGGGGCATCCTCGGTCCTGTCGCTCTGGCCTCCCTCGGAACGGAACGTCCCCTCCCTGCCTAAGTGCCACGGGTCCAGACGGGCCCCTCCTGCCGGGGGCTCGGGCCTTCCGGGGGAACCCACACCTCTCCCAGCGACACCACCTGACGCAACCCGTCTCACGCGCGCGTGCGTGGGCGACCCCGGGGTTCAGGTCCAGGCGGGGACAAGGGCTACCCTCAGGAGGGGGTCAGGAGTGACCCTTGGGGCCCGGGGCTCCGGCCGGGCGGGGTCAAAAATGACCCTGAGTGCGCGCTGGGCCGGGGTGGGGCCGGGATCGGGGCCCCCAGGACCTCAGGTGAGGTGGGGTGGGGTTGTGGGCGTTGCCCGGCGGGGTCGGGGTCGGGGTCGGGTCGGGGGTCGGCGCGCACTCACTGTTTGGGCAGCTGCAGGGCGGGCGCGCCGCGCCGCTGGAAGGCGCCGTCCACGAAGACGCCGTTCTTGCCCAGGCAGCGCAGGAAGAAGTGCGGCTCCTGGAAGGTGAGCTGCAGGTGGCGCCGCGAGATGAAGCTCGACAGGCCCATGCTCAGGTCCACGGAGCCCTGCGACGAGTTGCGGCCGATGGTGACGCTGGGCTGCCGCATGAGGAACTCGAACTCGCGGCCCTCCAGGCGCGCCAGCGCGGGCCCCGGGCTCCGGCGCACCGAGTCGGCCGCCGCGGCCACCGCGGCCTCGCCCGCCGGGCCCGCGTCCCCCGCGCCCCCCGCGCCCCCCGCGATCGTGCCCGGCGGCGGCGGCGGCGGGGGGCTGGGCGGGCGGCGGCGGCGGCGGCGACGGGGTGGCCGCGGGCCCGGGGGCAGCCGGGGCGGCGGGGGCCGCGGCGGCGGGGAAGGCGGCGGCCGCGGCCGCGGCGCACAGCACCGGGCTGCAGGGCGCCGAGCGCAGCGCCAGCAGGGCGCGGGCCCCGCTGTCCTCGCCGACTTCGGCCATGTTCGCGCAGCTCCGAGCGGCCTCCGGCGGCGGCGCGGCGACAGGGGGCGGGGCTCCGCGGGGCTGCGGCGGGCGCGGAATCCCGGGCTGGATCGCGCCGTGAGGGCGCGGAGCCGACCGGCCTCGGGCCCCGCCCTCCCTCTACTGCTCGAGGGGCGGGTGGCGCGGGGGTGGCCCGAGAGGGGCCCAGTCTGCACCGGCCGCCTCCCTTGCCCCAGGGCGAACCTCTCGCCCACTGTCCTGGGCTGTGGGCTGCCCTTTCCTCCGTTCTAGGGGAGCCGGAGAGGGGAACCCCCGAAATGTCAAACTGGAAAGTTCTGGCCCTGGAACAAATGACCTCAGCAGTTTCCTAGGCCCCAACTACTCCATCCTCCAACCCAAAAGTACGAACGCACTGAGACACCCGAATTAAGGGTTTCATACTGTAAATGAAGTTGACCTAAAGGTGCTTGCGGCCCCCTGGGGCCTTGTGTTTCTGTTTGGAATCGCCCATTTACTCAACCGATAGCTCCGTCTAACATCCCGGGACCAGAGCTGGACACCAGGGCAGGTGAGGCAGACGCCTGCCCTGCAGAGCCCTCCCAGGGGAGCGGGGGAGGGGAGACATCTCAGGTGCAGACACGGAGTGGGCATCGCTTGGACCCCGTTGGCAGTCTGGTCATGCATTCCTGATTAGGCCAGGTCCCCCTAAAAAGGGGAGCAGTGCTTCCACATTTGCATCCTTGAGTAATGACTGGGGTGAGGAAACTGACCCTCCCCGGTGGAGTCAGGACCCAGGGGGAGACTCGGACAGGAATGAAGTGCACCTAGTAAGGATGACAAAGTCCCCACTATCACAAGTCCTGGGAGGCACTGCTGCGTGGTGACATGTCCGTGTGTGGGGAGGTGTGACCCATGCAGGGTGGGAAATCTGTGGGCTTACCCACTTTCCAGCCTGGATCGGAAACTCAGCCGGCACAGTTGAATGGGCAGATACCTTAGACGTAAATGTTTGGGAGGCAAGTGACGCGTTTTGTGAGACGCCATAACGAGAGAATGGGTCATGCCAAGTTACCGGCCTTCAACTGGACTGCTTGGGGCCGGGCCCCCCGAGTATCCAGTCAGTGGTATCATTACCGTGTGGGGCACCCCCTGCAGATAAAACCTGCCCATGATCCGTAGAGCCACCCACGATGTGCCCTGGGCAGAACCGTGGCCACTTGAAGGCTTCATGATCGAGGCAGGGACAGGACAGAGCCCCTGTGCTTCCTGTGCGGTGGCCAGTGACCATGTGTGGCCGCCGTGGCTGGTCCAAGCTGAGATGGGCTGGAAGTGTAAGATGCGCAGGCCACTGGATTTGAAAGACTTCGTTAAAAAGAAGCAAAGCTCATTCATAGTTTTCCTACTGGTTGCAGCTTGAAACGATAACATTTTGGATCTATGGGGTTAAATAAGATGTGTTACTAAAATGAATTTCACCGATTTCTTTTTGCTGCTTTCGTGTAGCTTCTAGAAAATGTAAAGTCCCATTTGTGGCTCTATTGGTTGGCACCGTTAGAGACCGCTGATGGAGCTTCTCGGTCCCAGCAGGTGTTTCTGTGTTCATGGTGACACTTCGTGTTCTGGGGGCTCCCGGCTGTCACTCTGGTGTCCCCATCATGTGCATCCCTTCCTCTTTCAGCCGTCACATTGCCTCGTGGAGGATTCGTGTCCCAGACTGTCTGAGTGTGTGGCTGAATCAGTCTGAGGTCGAGCTCACAGGCCATCTGCCGGGCTGTGCTGTCTCTGCCCCAGGGTGCTTTGGTTTTCGGCCACGGAAACCCACTCTGGCCAACTTAAACAAAGAGGGGATGCAGCGGCATGACGCGAGGAAGCTCACAGAACCGAAGACAGCCGAGATCCAGGTTTCAGAGAGGGCTGCACTCGCAGAAAACCCTCCCTCGGTGGCTGAGGTTGCCGCCCCCCCACCCCCACCCCCACCCCCTGCCCCCGCCCCGGATTAATTAGCCCCAGCTTTCCTCTCCTTGCATCATTCTCCACGAGGCCGGAGTCCCCAGGAGAGAGCAGCGGATGGGCTTAGCAGAGGCTCTGCCTAGCCCTGGGCCCGAGGTAGGCAGCCCAGAGGCGGCTGCAGGGGCCTGGCAGGAGCTCAAAGCCCAGTCTGGCCGCTGTTGCTGGGGGGGCCGGGGGGGGGGCGGGGGGGGGGGGGGGGGAGGGGCCTGAGCTGGCAGAAACAATAGCTGTCCACCGCTTCATTCCAACCAGGTTTCGTCAGACCAGCGGAGGACTCAGCCAATTCAGCTTTTTCAAAAACACTGAAGTTCCTTTTTAAAAAAAAAAACCCACAAAAAAACCTTTACATTATGGAAAGATTGAAAACATACACAAAAGAATAAAAAAAATAAACCTCCGCGTTCCCATCACCCAGCCTGAACAAGGATTGGTTCAGGGCCGATCGGATTCCACCGGGGAGCCACGCGAATCCCTCCGGTTCCGCCAGGCAGACCGCAGGCGTTACCTCATTTCCGCGAGTCAGTGTGTCTGCACAGACAAGGGCTCTTCTCGAAGAACACCACCACGGCATTACCACCTGTAGGAGAAGCCTGATAACGCTGTCCTATTCAGACTCCTGGCCAGTGCGTGGAGACTGACTTCGAACTTTGCCGAGGTGTCATTTACACGTGACAACGTTCACACGATGCTAGTGCGCAGTTTGAGTCGGTTTGTGCGGTTGCTTGGTGACCACGACGATCCGGCTTCAGACCAGTTCGGAGTGTTTCCGTTGTCCCAAAAGTTGCTGTCCGAGGCTCAGTCAACCCTCCCTTGAGAAAACAGCCTGGTAATTTCTTAATGAGCCCCCTCACCCTCGGTGCACCATCCAGGACCCGACTCACGAGAGATGAACACACGCCCCGGAGACCAGTCCGTGAGTGTTTATGGCAGACTCATTCGTGAAACCCAAACTGGGAACCACTCACGGGCCTATCAATGAGTTGGGTTGATTTTCAAAAACTGTGTTCCAGTCATACTCAGCTCTGTCCGCAATACCGAGGGCGGGGCTGCCCATACGCAGCACCGCGGATGAACCCCGGGCCCGTGCTTAGTGAGAGGAGCTGGACCCACGGGGCCACGTGTCGGCTTCTGTGTGTGAGAAAGTGGTGGAAACGGGAAAACTACAGAGATGAAAGCAGATCAGTGGTGGCCTGGGCCACCCCTTCTGGAAACTTCTCCTACTCCCTTCCCAGAGGCCCTGGGATCGCCCCTCCACTGACAACTTACACTTTCAGCCTTGCAACCAAATCTCCCCTAAAACCAGCGCGCATGAGGCCTGGCCACTTCCAGAGATAAACGCAGAGAGGGCAGAGTACGACCTGACCTAGCAGGAAATAGCGTGCTACGTGCATTTTAAGGAGTGTGTCTTCATGTTTTACAGTGGTAATACCTTGACTTCCAGCTCTTCAAATTGGTTTTTTTGAGGGGGATTAGACCATGCTGTTTTCCCGGTCGGATGGCTGGGCAGGTGGACACTTAAGACATTCAGTGTCTGCTCTGAGCTCACAGCAGCCGCTGGTGAAAAATTAACCCGACCTGCCCCAGAGCAGATGCCCCGCCCAGTCCCCAGCTCTGTGTTGCCGTTGACTGTGTCGTAATTGACCTGAGTTCAAGTTCACTGCGCACCGACCACGCCGCCTGCGCACAGGGCTCAGGGCGGGCCGGATCTCGCCCTCCGCCGGCTCTTGAGAGGCTGGCTCCGTCCGCAGCCACTCGCGGATGGTCAAAGGCGGTTAGTGGTGTGAGGTCCCGTGGTTCAGCCTGACATTATCACCAAAACCTAAGTCAGAAGAGCAGATCCAAGGGGGAGTTCCGCTGGAAACCTTCATAGCTTCGAAGGGGGGGGGGGCTGCGTCAGTTACCTGAGGACGATAGGGGAAAAGGAGGCCGGACTTTGGCGAGAGACACGGCACAGGCAGGGACCGCTTGTTTCTCGCCCCACTCGGGATCGCGCCAGCGCCGTCCCCGTTCTGAAGTGGGAGAAAGGCAAAAGCCGATCTGGCTACCCGCACGCAGGGGGAAATCTGTGTTCTCGAGCGGGTGCTGGGCTTTGAGAAGGAGGCTGGCAGCTGGACTCTCGGCCGAGTGTGAGGGTGTGGCTCACTGCGCACAGGGGGCCGGGGTCCTGGGGAGCAGGTCGCTGTGCCCCCAGCAGGGACGTGGGCTGGGGAGGCCGCGAAACACGCGTGATGTGTACACAGCTCGGCTTCCCTGCGTGCCCCATCCCTACCAACCAGTCATATGAGCCCATCAAGGGAAGAACTAGCCCACCAAGAGACTTACAAAGGAAGCCAAAAGGATTAAATCTAGAAGACACTGTTTTGCCTCCCTCATTTTACATTTATTATTTCTATGAAGGACAAGCAGCTCGCTGACAAAATGCAAGTGAGCGGGCATACCAACGTCCTAGGTTTGAAGTCCTCCCTCGCAAGCGTTTTGTTATCAAGCCCACAGTAATAAGTGTGCGTGCCCGAGGGTATTCAGAGTAAACGGAGGACAGGGGTCAGGCCTGAGAAAGCACCGGATAAATACATAGGAGAAGAAAGAGTGCAGGACCCAAGAAGATTCGAGAGCCCCTCTCAAAACCAAGAGCTTAAACCCCGACCCCACTGGGTCAGAGCCACGCTTGACGTAGACGCAGAAGACACGGAGCCTCCGTGACCATGGCCATGCTTCCCTGGTCACTGCTGTCGCTCAGCAACCCCCCAGCACAGGGAGGTGACTGCTCAGCCCCTCGCCTGCGGAATGTAGCCAGCCCCTGAAGGTTGCCACCGATGAAGCATGGGGACAGCTCCCTGCCTGGGGATGCCAGAAACAACTCGTTGTTCACGGCGGGGAAACAGGCAGGTGTCCTGCGAGAGGCGACCAGCAGGCCTGGCTCTGACCACCGCCCTGGTGACCGTCCTGTGATCTCAGGCGACACCGCAGGGCCGTCGGCAGGTCCAGCCTGGAGTGAAAGGAGCAGAGTCGCCGGCG